CTATCAAAAATCTAAAAAGAATTAGGAAACTTCGCTTCCAAATGACCAGTTGCAATGTTTAATCAATTATATTATAGTGCTTCGTGAAGTTAGATAGTATTCTGTCGATTCAATCACATCAGCACCCAAAGCTGCAAGTGCCAATGAAGCTTTTGGCCGTGGTCTAGCCATGCCCAAGCCGGCCTAAGTTGTCTCTGCCGAGTCGCTACTTCTGCCATGGCTTTGATTGTGAGCATCACCACCTGAACCTATCGCCGCAAAGCGGTGAATAAGGCCACACTGTGGTCGTGCGATCGAGGTGGAACCCCGTGTCTGTACCACAAGATTTATACACATTTTCTAGCAGCACAGGTCAAGAATAGTTTACCTACATAGATACATGACTTTAGAATCTTAAAGTTCAAGTAATTGTCGTTTGCCTTTGATGTGATTTGACAGAGGAGTAACTGCCCTAAACTGTTGTAAACCACTGGTGTGAGAGAGACTAGGGACATCTGAAATCCATACAGTGTGCTTTTCTGTCCATTCACGTGAGAAATTGAATTTCGTGCCTCTGCGTCCTCTAAATTGTATTCCTCCTGACAAATTCCAGCTGACTTATGGCTTCCGGCATCGTCCATTCCACTGCAGTGTTGATTGTGTTGACAAATTTCGACATGTTCAGCCTTGCCTACTTTTGCACCCAGGCTATCGGCAATCGTTGACACAAATCACAAAAAGCAGCCTAAACTATTGTAACTATGGGGTGTCCTGCCCACTTTCGATGTCGTGCTTCAATCGCGGGTCCCTCTCGACATTTATATCACCGTCCACACCTCTCGAATGATGGGTGACGCTGCTGGACACATGACGGTGCAAATGACTGGCTCAAGAAAGGTCTAATATAGTTTGCTAGGTTAGAGGCCGTGGAGGCCATCGCTAACACAGAAAACAAGACAGCGGTGTTGAACAATGGTCTGGGTCTGGGGAACCCGGACAGGTTTCGTCACCGACCTGCAAGTCTCCAGCGTGTATTCGTACGAACAAAAACCATCTTGGGGCATGGACCATAACGTCGAAGCATTTCCGTGGACCTGCAGAAGACTGACCACGGCTGACCACCAATTCAAGTTCAAACAAGAATTGCGGTCAGCGCCATGCCAAATGCTTGAGCAACTTGCCAGCTGATCAGAATAGCCAGACTCTCCCAACATCCCATCAAATCATATCAAATCCATAGTGAAGTTCAAACACCAAAAGACAATCAGCCCGCACTTTCTGCATATTCGTCGTCGGTCGCACCATCCTCACTTGACAAGCCAAGTGAAATTCACACCTTCACAACAGCGAAACTTGCGGTAGTCCTGGTCCTCATAGACATTTAATGACCCTCGTCCATGGATGTCCATGGATACATACTTGCACGGCATGAAATGCCTTAGGCCTTAGACCGGACCTCGTTATTGAGAGAGCGCTAATGACTTGGTTGGACGCATCAATTGAACGTTTTGTAATTGTCATTGAGAACCGCTTCTTACACACTGGAGAAACAACCAACAAGATCGACTTTGAAATATGAGTTTCGCCATTCTGTGTGAACGGATCAAAGGCGTAGCTTACCGTTTCAGCTGTGATCAGGTTGCTATTCCTTCCGCCTGCAAGGTCAACCATCCTTTCTGGAGAAACCATCTCCTAAAATACGCAGCGTCCTTCCATTACTGTACAACAGGAAGTTTTCTCTCTTGAACCATTGAGGTTTGGAGCAGCGAGGTGTTCCATGAGGATTTCGCTGAATTGCCGCCTTCAAAAGTAAGGTGAGCTTGCAGACTAAAGTTGCAAAATATAATATAGAAAACTCATGAATAATCGATGGACATCTCAATTAGAAACTTCCGAGTTACGAACAGTTGCAGATGGCGTAATCGTGAGCATGTAACTTAAGCCGGAAATCGGATGCGGGACAGCGTCCTGTCTTCAGGTATGTAACAGGTGCTTCGCGTCGCAGTTCCATTGGGGACATGAGTCTGACAGTCACACATCATCATCTAATGGCTCATCGCGCACGTCTTCCAAAGTTCTATAGTCGTTGACATATATACTATATTGAATTGTATTGAAACTTCCAAATCATTTCTTAATCGTATCTCCACGTTGCTGCATGCCTTTGGCAAGCCAAACCCTCCAAAAAAAACCACACAAAAAACAGGAAAGGAATAGAACAAAGCCATTCTAAGACAAATCGCCGAGAGGAAGCGCACGACACCCATGCTCCATACACACGTTGACGGTTCGTCCAAGCCTTCCGAAAGGTGTGGGTGTTTCATGGTGTTTCACTCTTCACTGGTAAAATTACTTTCGAAGTCTGGAGAATGCCGCCCAGTCAAGAACATCACGTCAATAATTAACGACATCGGCACCGAAGAAAGCAATAGGTACAAACGCGGAGAGAAGAAGACAAAAAGAGACGAACAAACGAAAAGCTAGAGACAAATAGGACAGGATCGACAGAACAAGACTGAGAGGAGAGGACAAACATGGCAAAGCGACATGCAAACTGAAACAGGCAAGAAAAGAATTAGACAACACTGAAGCAATAAGCTACCAGGAACAAGTGCATCGCTTCTAATAACAAGTGCCTTACTAGTAGTAACAAGAAGCTATTAGAAACAATAAGCTAGCCAACGGCGGTGGCCAAACAACACAGGAAAGTTCGACATTTCGTGGCGAAAGTGGGTCTTAACCTCTTGCATCGTTTGAATTGACAGCCAAGGGTCGGAATCAGAGTCACCATTCCATCTGGCACGCCTTGGAGAACTTCGATATTTAAACAACACTGATGAAGACTAATCAGGCTCTTCTCTCGTGGTCGTGTTATTCATCTCCATTCCATTTGGGCTGGTGTCACGGAATCAATTCTGCACCATCGGACTCGACCCCTCTGAGTTTAGGTCTTATGTTTCGGAAGCGCCCGACACTCCATGACTACATAGGTCCAACTCCAACATACATACAGTAAATTAATTCAATTAAACATCAGGAATCTTGCACATCATTGTGGTGACTCACGTTGGGCGGAACCTGTTCTACAAAATGGTATGACCATGTATGACCTTTACGCGCCAGATTGAGGTGCTTCCATCTGTTTCTAGGTCTCTTCAATCATGACCAAGTAAAAAATAATGCCAAAAACAACAGTTCTTTTGTTCTGTCGAATTTCCGACTTCTTCGTTTCAAACCTACCTATCTACAGCTAAGATTTGTCAGTGCTTCGCAATTGACCCCCCCAAAGTTGCACTGCTGCTACACGATGCGGGCCCCAACCTCATCTTTCTGCAGCACTCTAAAAAAATCTACATACAACACGTATCTCCGATGCTACATTGACGGGTATGTTGACACACCTCATTTTAGATGAACATGTAGATATAAACGGGTCAAACAAGTTCAGAAGTGACCGGTGCGACTTAGTCTAAAAGGATTCGAGAACAACCTTTTGTAACATTAGATAGCGAAAAAGGCATTCAATACAATACTAAATGGCTCAATATGAACAGTTAATTTTGATCTTAACATACCCCATGTTTGATCCCATATAGCAACAGGGATCAAAACGTACAGTATATATATAGTGGACTCCAACCCCCCCCATTTCATATAGGAAATCGAAACACGCTGAGACGGGGATCCATCGAAAACAACATCTGAGTTGGCACTCAGGCCTTCTGGCTCAGCTTAGATTGTAGATGCTCTTTTAGCAAGACTATGTCAGGCAGGCTTCAATTTCGCGAGCTGGGAACGAAGCCGAGCGATGTGTTCGCCTGAGAAGGAAGGAGCCATCTCCAAGTTAAGGCATGAAGACAGTGACGCGGGCCGGCTAGAATATCGCTGGAAAGAGGTGCTACGATGTGCTACGAGGTGTTTCATGTCTGTCTGTCTGAATATCACCACGTGCATTCATGATCATTCAGGTATTGTCATGCATTGTAGTTGACTACCTGGCAACTCAAGCTCTTCACACCCTTCAGCAGGGAGAACAAATTACTCAAAGGGCGATCGGTTGGTCTTACGTGATCTTACATGATCTATCAATCTATGTATCATGATCTCATGCATTTCCCGCATGACACCCAGCATCAAATCCAAGTGGCTTGTCTCGGTGTCGGGTCTGAACTGAAAGTCTTGTGTCAAACGATGCTCGTCCAAACCTTACAGGGAAGGTTGCGTCATCCAAGCCAAAGAATCACATTCTGAGAAGTAAGTAGGAGTTGGTGGTGGTAGTAGTAGTAGTAGTCCTAACTTATTTGAATGTCAATGGCAAACCAAGCTAAGCAGTCACCATCACTTCACCGCTGCATATCTGCTGTATAGTCATGACAACAGTGTAAATCTCGGCACTCCGACGCAACAGCAAATCTCGGTCACCTTTTTCAAGTTGAAGCTCACGATGAGGCATCAAGAAGGTAAACCTATCAGAAGGTGCCATGTGTCATCGTGAAAAGCACCCACAACAAAAGCCGAAGCAGCCAAAGAAATCCATGTGCTTTTCACAAAAAGATCATGGACCATCAAGTGGGGGGACTATGTAGCCTAACGACCTAACGACCTAACGATGCCTAACGGCATCTAACGGCCAAACTTATCCAACAGAAATTCGAGCTATTTATGGCGATGTGTAATTCGATTGGAGATGGTGGCACAATGGTGACATCCAAGCGTCCCTTTCTCCAGTGAGGCGAAGCATTGTCCACAAAAGGTTGTGCTATCTCTGTTGCATAGTCTGAGCAACCAGCCGACCTCAGTTGTACGTAGCTCCAGTAGGCCAGGAATGCAATGCTGCGTCAAATAATCTATCACCATTTAGCGTCAGGAGACTGCTTTGTGGACCTTCCCTGGCTGGCGCCGCTGAGACGTCTCCCAGCAGCCAATGCCCTTGCAAATCTGATGGAATGCGGAACCTGATGTGCTCACGGCACACATGTCACGTTTGAATGTATTTACAAAGGTGCAACCAGGACGGTTGGGCTTGTCGCTGGGAAATCTGATCTCTTCAACCCACTGGCAGCGGAACAAATCGCAAGGGAGGCAGTGGTCCATTCTAGACACGGTGCCACTGAGAATGCCATAGGTGAATGCCATGGCAACAGGCACAATGAACGATGCGAAGATGTAGACCATGTACATGTACCTGAGGTTTCTCAACTGTTTTTCCGCTACCCACAAATGGCAATTGAAAAGGTCCAATTTCGCTCTCCACGCCCTATTTTGTTAAACATCTTGTCCCGCAAACAAGAAGCAGCTTGCACACTACACACGAATCAAGACACACAAATGGCCACAAACTTGTCCAGTACTTTCCGATCCTTGGCATCCGACAGTCCAAAATTGTCTGGCAGTTGCAATAAACTCATGACAACTCCCCACCATCGACCACCTGATGGTTCCAAAGCTGGCTCTTCTGATCCGACGTTAAAGCGCTGATTTGCGACTGAATCATGACCGTACGTGCATCGGACTGTTGTGAGGTAGCTAATGGCACAGCCCATACTCTAAAACATTCAAAAACCTGATCTCATCAGAGCTCCCGTTGGCGCCAAAATGTCCGAAGGTCAGGAGCCTTGGCAAAAGTGAAGTCACAAAAGGCTCCCCTTAAGAACTTAAAGGCAAAGTCTGCGGGCACTATACAATGTCATACAAATCTTACATCTTCACATGCCCTCACTGCATCCAAGGAGCCAAACAAACATACAACCAAACATAAACACGTGCACTTGCAGGCATTTGAAGAGACAGGAAAGTCTCGACTGGAAGATGATCCAATAACCTGCTAGGCACTTGCCCATCACAACTTCGACTGGACTGACGTTCATGAATTCTACATCAATTGGCCCAAAAAGAGACAACGTGGAAGACAAACTAAACCAATGAATCAGCGTTCAAGCACTGACTCCAAGTAGCAAAACAGAATCGACATCAACACCTCCAAGACCATTGCCGGCACCACATACGGCCTGAGCTGTTGAAGCTTGCTCAACACAGCTAGGCTCTTTTGTGCTCTTACCGCTTACCGTGGGCTGTGTGTTTGCAAGTCCAATGGCAACAGAATGTATATAACAGCGGCACCGAAGTTTCACTCTCCAAGTATAGCCCTGAAACACTGGCCAAACAATTGCGTTTCACTACAGTAGTGATTTGGTCAATGACAATGACTCAACAGTCGGGCAGCAGCAACACGAGCGCATAAAGCTGCTTCATCACAGAAAGCCAACGCGCTCTACCTCAGGACTCTCTAAAAGGCCCCTCTAAAACTTAAATATCACTTAACATCACTCAGCTGCTTGGCAAGCTGACATGCATTAAACCTGACAGTGGTCACCTCGACCTGGCCCTACTCAACTTTTAAACATATCAAGCAAACTAAGTGCATCACCTGGGAAAATCGGGAATCGTACATCATAGTACGATGATTGCGAAGGTATGCACAGGTGTCCTCGGCAACTGTGTCCACGGCATTTGCTTAGACACCGCGAAATTCCAGCATGATTGTTGCAAACGGCTGCTCAATAAAACACCCCCAAAACAAAGGATTTCTATCATTTGTTGCTCTGTGTTGCTCTACTGACTGGGTTTGGCTCGTCACAGCTCCAAAGCAAGAATCCTGAAGGATAGGAAAACAAATCAAAGTATTCACCGGAAAAGCTCTCACGCAAAAGCACGCCCAATGAAAACTACTGTGCTGGCACATGCGGCGGTAGCGAGCGGTCTCAATGTCATCTCTAAAGACCTGAAGTAAGATGCTTCGGTTGCATCATCTATTAATGAAGCGGGACAGTGTCCCGCTCCGTCCATGATATTCGAAGTTCTCTTTCCTTTCCCCTTGTATTCCGCGCAGTCTCGCACCACAGAACGAAGTATAACTGGCAAAATGACAATGAATGGAGCATCCCGAATCTATTCAAGTCTCAATTCTGTAAGGTCCTGAAACTGTGTCCCAGCGACATCAAAGCCAAGTGACAGCCCCTGGGCTTTGAATACGAAGCTGGCCCCAAAGCCCCAAGCCAGCAGCGAAGTTGGGGGAGGTACCTCTGCGATTGCCTATATCATGTTGGTCTAGGTTCAACATGGATCACGCAAGTGCGTAAGCATGTATAAGATGTATGTATGTCGTCGGCCTTCGGAGATTAGCATCTGAAATATCTGGATGCATCTTGTTATATATGGTAGGGCAGCGAATGCAAAATGGTGCAAGACACACCTGCTTTGCATATCATATGTTCCTTGTCTTGTTTACCGTGTGTCAATATCAAAAAGGCCTCTATCACAGGTTTCTTCTGTTGATGTTCTCCAAGTTGCACCACACGGCCATCAAGGTAAGGAGATCATTGTAGTTGGTCTCGTTGATATCTTCCCGCCGCTGAAACCTAAGCGCTGCAGCGTTTGACAGCCATCACATCATGTGACATCCATCGTCACATCTAAGCTGCCTCTGGACATCGTGAATGATGGAGTTAATGGCCAAGCCAATCATTGCCCTTAGCATTCTGCCATGGATTGTGCATGCGTGGGGTGAGCGCACACGATGCTACAATCCAGGGCCAGTGTGGCCGAGCTGATCAGTGGACAACTTGACGCGTCCACCCTGGGCCCTGCCACACGGCATCCGACTCTTTGTCTTTGGCAAGATTAGTGAAAGGCAAACTGAATTCAGAGCAGATTGAAATCAACTTTATTTGTATACTCGATCTTAAGAAAACCTTCAACACCTCTACTAATGCACCAAGAATCATCTTCACAAAGCTGCTGATGATGAACTTTACCACTTTGGATTTTGCAGTACCCTTCTTCGGTTGAAATTTCAGATCAAAGCCAAACCTGCAGGTGGAGTTGAAGAAGGGTCCGCAATGCGCGGCACTCTGCCTTCATGGAAACGGCTCTAACATTTCTTGCCGACCCAGCCACACAAAAAAAGTAAAGAGCTGCTTGAAACCATTGCTCACCTCATTGCCCAGGGAGAAGTCGAGCCACTAGATTCACACGTGTATACAATTGTCAAGAATGACAGCCTGCCTTGGTCGACACTGCTTTCATGCTGAGCACCTGGCCGGCAATAAGTAGATTGGCTGCATTGTCTCCTGGGTTTGCCCGAGCGACAAGTTTGCAACCATCTCGAAACTGTCACAAAAAGTCAACGAAAGAACCTCTATATAAGGAAAAGTATGCAACAGTGCATATTTCACTATATGAACCACAAGTTTCTGTAATATTAAACAACTCTCAAGCCCTACCGTGTTGTCCAACCCTGTGTTCTCCAAATGCCCAAAACTGCTCCAAGCCACAGGCCGCAGGAGCTCTGAAAAGGGATCCCGCAAGGTCCCGTAGCGCAGCGCGCTCTCGGCCTCCTCGGGCGTAAAGAGGTCCTCAGTCAAACCACCAAGGCGACCGCGCACCGCATGCAACGAACAACGAGATGAAACGAGAAACGAGGCTCGTCAAAGCAAAAGGCTTTCGGAAAGTGCGGAAAGAAGATGTGGTAGGGCCACATGGTGGGATGTTGTACAAATCTACTTGTCTCTCTCTCTCTCTCTCTACATCTTCTTTGGCGGATACCTCCCCGCTGCGTGGTAGGTATGAAAAAGCACAGGATGTAGTGCGTTCCATGTGGCCATGTGAAAAAGGAACAATATTAATGTACGAGCAACTCGTCGACGCCATCTCTCCTGAACTTGAACTATCTCGATCCAATTCCCGCTACACCGGAGTGCTTCCAAACTTGCCATGTCTCGGGCATAAGACTGTGCGCATCTTGGGCTTGTGGCTGTGAATCTGGCGGCAGGATGTATGGGGTTGGCGGTGGAGGAGTTTGAGGTGCCCAACTGTTCCTCAGATTCAACGGGTGATGCAAAGACTGGTGTAGCTTGAGTGTTGTCACTCTGAATGCTATTTCAAGCAGCTGTGGCTGATGCGTCGGTTCCGGGAATTGCTGCCGCCCTTGTCCATCTCCGTGGTTTGCTTGCCTGAACTTGATTCAACTCGCATAAATATACTACTATACATTTTGCGTCAATGAGAATGTCGCCGAAAAGGGTCATCTGCACCCCTGTTACAAGCTGGTGACATTTGAAGCAACAGTTTCCATCCTGCTGCAGCTAGGCCAGGCATTTCGTTGCATTTCAGAAAGCACGTTCTGCCACAAAAGCCGATCTTGACCGAACTCAAATTGCAGCTTTGCTTCTGACCAGGGCTCGGCCACGAAAAGCAACAACCAAGGTTTAAGCCATCCTCATGACTTCCCACGACATTGGAACTATTTGGAACTGCTTCGAACGTTTGATACAGAGTTGATGGATCAGGCCAAGAGTCCCAAGTAGGACAGCAATCACCAGCCAATCCAGCACATCCAGGATGTGCTGCGCAAGCAGCACCTTGAGGTTTTGAAGGCCTCATAAGTTTCGGCTTTGCTTGTGATTTGGCTCTGAGCTTTCGTGCATGTTGCTTCGCATGTGTTGCGAGCTGCGGATACGTGACGTCGGACGGTATTAGTGCGCTTGGGCGGGGGTGGGTGGGTGGGTGGGTGGGTATCAATGTTCGCTGTAAACACCAAATTTTCCAAGGTGTTGATATTATGTGATGATGGCTCTCTCTCAGCCAGCAGAATGGAATGGCTTTTTTGAAACATGTATCTGTATGGACAACGCACGAACAAACACCTACAGTCAGTAGTTATCTGCGGGTGACCTTGTTACAATCATATACTAACATCATATACCGTACAACCTTAGGGGGGGGCACCAGCTCGATGGGAACTGTTTTGGCGAGGATCCGGTCGACCGAATCCGGGCATCACAAATCCCGGTCAGTAGCCATGGAGGCCATGAGGGCCGCACCCGAGGGTGGGTGGGTTTTAATGCGAAAGTGCGTCACAAGGCCGCAAACGATTTGTGCACTTTCAATGCGTACTGACCAACTCCTGATCACAAAATACTAGGGCCACCTGATCAATAAAGGATAGCACTGGTCTTACGTAGGTTAACATCATAGCACTGCGCAGGGAAGCTGCGAAGAGTACAGTATATATAAATATAACCATTTTGATATTTTTGAGGGTGCTTTATTTATAAAGTGGAATCTTTCAACTCAGTTGCACTCAGTTGCAGCTGTTGCGGTATCACAGTTCCGGTTTGAAGAGTTCCAGTTCGTCTGCTGCACGTCCACTGAGGACAGCACTGACCCCAAAGTTCAACAGCATCGGATGAACCCGAAAGTTCCATATGTCCGCCATTTCCATGCCTGCGTTGCATGAAAGCGCACCCCTCCGGGCAAGATGTGCGGGCACGTAGTAGGGCACATGCTATGCGGTTTGGCATTTGGGGATGTATGGTTTTGTACACATTGCATTCGCGTGGCTCAACACAGTGGGGTGAATGCCTCAGCATCAAAAGCAAACCGGGAAACCTATCAAATCAAACTCACGCGCCCCTTTAGTTGACAACCATTCAGCACGGGACATACATATATTTAAGCCACATTTTGTCTTTTCTTTAAGGTTGCACGCTCCTCACCTCTACTTCTCGCTTCTTTCACTCCTTGATTGTTCTGTAATTCAGCTCATCAAGGGGCCAAAAATAGAGCGCCAGCACCGGGAGACCTGCAATGCCGGCGGCAGCAGCCTCAGCGCAGCTATGCATAATCTGCACAAGAGTTCAGAAGAAGCCACAAGCCCGAAACCTTCATATACAGGAAAACATAGCGTAACCAACCCTTTAGCTTGGGGCAGCTTGGGAGTATGTGGGGAACAGCTCGGGGGCATGGCCGGCAAAACTTAGGGGTCTTAGGATCACTTAAGCTTGAGGCCTTGCATTGCTGGGAGCCCTTGAAATGGCCTCCACCCCTAATAGCGATGGCTTCCACCTAGTAGCGATGGCCTCCAACCCAAGAGAGCAAAACATAAAGAAGCGAGTTCTGAATAGCTTCTTAGGGATCTTAGGATCGCTTAAGCTCTGAATCATTGGATCTTCAAGGGCTCCCAGCCAGCAATGCCTTTTGTGGCAAACGCCAAGGAGGCTCTGCCATGGCCATGCTGAATTACTAATTGGCGAAGAATGAGCTCAGGAAACTTGACAAGAAAGAATCACATCAACTTGAAATTGCTGTGAAACGTGGGCTGTTGAAGAGCTACAGGCGATTACAACTCAAGCTGTTCAAAAGCATTCAGAATGTCATATGACTACGCATAACAACTCCAAAGCTCCGTCTCTCACGGTCATTCAATCTCAAGGATGTCTCCAGATGTTTGCAGGTTGAGCTGTAACAAGCAGGTTGAAGTGCATGCCATGCTATTGCAAGGTCTAGGATTTGATCCAAAATACATGCATGCTCAATGACTCGAGACTTATTGGATCGGATCAAAATGATGTCCAAGGTCCCTTGGTTTAAGTGATGCAACTCTGGGCAGGCTTTGTCTACGGCATGTCGGATCGTTCCCAGGCATTTTGCCTTTCAGCCATCGCAGCCACTACCAGATCTTCGCTTTAACTAACCCCCCTGAATTGAATAGCAAGGGGAAGCTTCTGGAAACATATGACAACTGCATGGCATGAAGTGCCTAAATGTATCTCCGTACAGGACTTGTACGGAGTCTGCTCCAACAACTTCAATAATGGTCCTCATGGGCGCGAAGTAGCCGTGCCATGCAACGCACTGCAATGCTGTCTCCTCGGGCTGTCTTAGTCCATAGGAGACTGCTCCGAAATTCTGGCGTACGCAGATTCAACACGGTTCAACACACAAACGTGGAAGAAGCCGAAGGTCCCAAGACCAGGAGGGAGAGATTCAATATAGCCAGAACTGCTGCACTGCACATATACCAACTAACTTCCTGGATCTTCCTGGGTGATATCTAATTACATCTCATTTCAAAACTGACCTCGGACCAAGAAACGCCCTGCTTCTGTGGCGGGGCAGGTGAACCTTGCATTCTGGCAGCCCCAAAGTTTGAACTCCTATGTGAACAATTTGGCAACAATTGCATGCTCCTGTTCTGGCTCTCATGTGATCTAGCAGCGATGGGGGGGGCTGGCCCAAGACTGATGTCAACCGGCTCTTGACATGACTCATCCAAATGCGCGAAATGTTGCTTTGAGACACAAAGGCTAAGGCGATACCAGGCTATGCCAGTGCCAAAAAGACGCAACTGCTCAAGGCTCAGCTCGCTTGCACATCAGCCGCAGGCCTCTGGACACTGATGTTTGGCCTATGCATCTCCCTTCGCTCTCGATGATGGACACTCTAGGCACCTCATAGACACCTCTACTGTAGCCACTCCGTGTTCCAACCAGAACTCGCTTCTTAATGTTTTGCTCTCTTGGGTTGGAAGCCATCGCTCTTAGGTTGGAGGCCATCACCTCAGCTGCGCTTGGAAGCGCATTCAGCTGAGATTGCCCACTCGCTTCGCTCGCTTTTGCCGCTTCGCTCTTTGCGTCCTTTCGGCGTTGGCCTCGAAGCAGCTCACGGCTCAAAGCTCCCATGAAAATGGCGATTGGGATTTGCAACCTTCATATTGACATATTGCTTATAAATTTCTTGTCTGCTCATAAGAAGAGCCACACACAAGGCAACACCAACAGCAAAGACAATATCTGGAACCCATCTTCACACCAGAGAGTGTAGCTCGCGTGCGTCATGTGCTGTCACAGTCTGTCTTGAGACGTGGTGAGACCGACCTGTTGGGTGGGTTGGCACGCCGCAGCTTTGGTGCCATCACCTGCGACACAAAGCGATGCAGTGGGACGCAGTGAAGCTCTCCGGCCAAGTTGCATCACTGAGAATTTCGACTTGTGATGTCAGCACATCCAGCCTCAGTGTCAATTTGAGAACTTCTTAAACCAGTGCAAAGCTTGGTCAAGCATGACAGTATTAATCCACATGTGGTTCGAACGCCTACACTCAAAATTCACCCCTTGTCAAGCTGAGCATGATGACTTTGTGGCGTCTGCCTTCTTTACCAGCTCAGCATTGAGATCCTTTGGAAGGCAAGAGGTGGCCCCAGGTCACTAACGCTCTGATACGCTCTGGTTTGTTAAGAGATACTAAGTAAGAGCACTCGTAGGTACAAAAAGTTTCTTTGTCAAATCTCGGGTTTGTTGCTTTAACTTTCAACAGTGAAAGTCGGACGAATTGGAACGTCAAGGCCCTGCCTGGACACTCGCCCTGAACTCCTCAGCTCCGGTACAGCCGCCCAAGGCACTGCCCAACGCTTGGAGTTTTGCATGCACCGTCTCCATCTCCTGACTACCAAGTTGACAAAGACGCACAAAATACAGTAGCACGTAGTTTAGTTGCATACTGTGTTATATACTACCTTCGCTCTTTACTAGCTCTTTAGCTCTTTACTACAACAATGTTTCTGCACTGTTTAACTGTTTCAGCTTCACCTGTGAACTCACCTTTGTGGGGTGTCAACTCCGAAAGACTTTCACAACACTGTCCTGGGCTGATGTCTCACGTTGCTGCGCCTGAGAGTGCTGAGAAGTGCTGAAGGGTTTCTAAAATAATCTGTAATAGGCCTCACACATCCTCCGATCGTCCCCACACTCCCTCTCGTGCTCAGCAGTGCTAGGGAAGGGGCTGTAGCACCACTTAGCGCATGCACCTGTCAAGGAGAATGTGAAACATAATTTCTGAGCTAAGAAACTATCCAACTCCAATCTAACCTGAATCTTCAATTGTTCAAGCTCCACGAAGTCTGCCTCCGCAAAACAAGGCGGGAAAAACGACGGCAACGGCATCGATAGAAGACTTGACAAACATAATGTTTCGCACGCTCTTTATTGCACAGGCGAGATTTTACATC